AAAAAAACCTGAGGACTGTGGAAGTGCCTTTCTCCTTGAATACATAAAGAAAGAGGATTCTGTATTCTCTGCTGATGGTACAGGGATGGCACAGGACAATGTCTGCAGTCAGCGGAAATGAAGGCGATGCCAGCTCTCACAGGACAGCAGTGCCCTCTGGCTGCTATTCCACCCGGCACTCACTCACCAGAATCCCCAGCCACCCACGGGTCAGGGAGGCCCAGCGCAGGCTCTGGCGTGGCCACCCTCTGAATCCGCACAGCCACCTTCAGCCCCTGGACAGAGTGACAGGGACAGATTAGAGTCACACAGTGGTCAATGGGATCCACTCACACCTGTTCACGCAGACTGAATTTGCATAACTGGCCCTGCTTTGGGGAACATACTGATAAAAGAAGGGACACACCATGCTTACCGGCCCAGATTTACCCAATTCCTCAAGACAAGGCTAATCACTATGGCTAGAACCGCACCTTCAAGGTGGGATGGAGATGGGTCCAGGGTCGGGTAGGCCTCCCCTGGGCAGCCTCCAGCGGTGGGGGAAACTCTGGGGCAAAGCGGGCAGTGCGTGCTAGCAGACTGAGGGGCAGAGGGAGGCTGCGGCGATGGGCCTGTGCAAATGAGGGGAGGTAGGACGTTGTTTCCGGGAGGAAGCCCTGTCGTGGGAGGCAGGGTCGGAATGCTCCTCTACTGGAAAGGTGTCTGGCCTGACTTGCACTTCTAAGGGGCGCCTCTGGCCTCCGTGTCCAGGGTGAGTCCAGTGGAAGCAGAAGCCTGTCAGGTGCAGCTCGCAGGGGCTTCAGAACTAACAGACTGTGGGCAGGGCGGTGGCAGGGGGGGACAGGAGGAGCACTCAGAGGTAGGTTATAGTTTGGAGGCAAAGCTCGCAGGACTTGGTGGTGGATGGGAAGTAAATGTGGCAGGTCCCTCGGGGCAGGTGACAGGCCCCTAGAGCAGGTGGGAGGAGGCCCCTTCTCCTCATGGCAGAGCTCAAAGCACACCTTACAGTGTCCCTCTCAGATACTCAGCCTGGACACTCCTCACCCAGAACCGTGGGTCACAGGGCCTACCCATTCCTGTAGGCTTCCTGNAAAACATTAAGCGTGCAGAGAAGGAAACTGTAGGATCAAGGTGGCCAAAAAGGTAAGCTTGGCATATGTGGATTTTTTTTTAATACTGATATTAAATATGGGAAGAAATTGTGAAAAGGGGGAATGTATCAGAGTAAAGGATAATTTTAAGGCATTTGGTTATGTGAGAAATGATGCAATCACAGGAAAAAGGATGGAAATAGCAGATAATTTACTAAGAAAGGATTCTATGAAGATTGGAACTGACGTCGAGAGAAAGTATTAACAAGAACCTAGAGTGAGGAGAAACTGGATGAAATATACACATGGAAATGCTAAATGTGAAGATGAGGTAGGATAAATCGTGCCTACCCAAGTGAAACCAGAGTAAAGCACTAGAGATAAAAAGGAAAAGGAAAAAAAAAAGAAGGTGGAACTCACTAGGGGAGCTCAACCAAACAATCTTCTCTGTGAAACGCATTGAAAGTGTTTCCCTTTCTGACACTTTCCAAATCTAACATTCATCTTACCAGAGCTGGTGCTGGGTGCTCACCTGGACAGGTTCCTGGGAAGATCCCTCTCCCGGTGGTCCATAGCTCTTTTCTTTGCTCCAAATGGGAAAAGGCGCTGGGTTTGCACAGTTGATCTCCTGCTGGTGGGGAAAGACTCATGGTGTGGGCAGATTGCGCCTGACATGAAATCAGGGCTGATATTCTGAAGACTTCAGGGGTGCTGGGGATGGGAGTAGTGAAATGAGCATGCCTAAATTTTGATGGGCGCAGCAGAGCTCTTTCACTAAGGAACCAAACAAAGTACACGCTCCCTCACAGGATCCCAGAGAACACTAGAACATTCCAGTCCCCAAAACCTAGGGCCTAGCTCAGGGACACATTTGAGAAACCCAGAAGCAGCAGAAAGATCTTCATTTCTAGAAGCCACTAGACTATAAGCACCATGAGGGCAGGATTCATCTGTCTTTTCACCTCTCTCTTTCCAAACCAGCACAGTTCTGGGAACCCATACTTGCATGAGAGTATGGATGAAGCAATGAGGCCAGCCTTACCCACAGAGGCCAGGTTCCTGTAGTTCTCTAGCATCACATCTCTGTACAGGCTTCTCTGAGCAGAGTCTAGAAACATCCATTCTTCTGGGGTGAAGAGCACAGCCACATCTGCGAAGGTGACTGGTTCCTAAAATGCACACCCATCCCTGCTCAGCCAGGGGCCACCCTGGTGGGGGGCTAGCAGGCCTGGGGGATGGACACCCTGTGCAGAGGTCTTTCAGACGGGACTCTGAGGCATCTCAGAGTCTGACCCTTGACTCAGGCCTCAGATCTAGAACTCTTCTCTCTACCCTTCCCTCCCTAAGGGACAGCATCCAGAAGCGTGGCATCAAAGGACCTCAACTTCATAACAGGACTTAGCTATTGACAGCTAGCCAGGAAGCCCTTGCAGTTTTACTCCCCTCCAGCCCCAGGGTCCTGCAGACCTGAGCAGGCAAGAGACAGACAAGAGATAAATATTTGGTAAATGAAAACTGTTTGCTCCAGGAGACCATGAAGGATATGAGACGAGAATAACCCACATCTTTGCTTTGTTTTCCCCCCTGACACTCAGCAGAACACAGCACTCAACAGACTGGGGAAGGTCTGACTGCAGGGCTGGGGTCATTGCCTGGCCCAACCCCTACCTACTGCAAGAGGCCTAGTGTCTGGATGCCTGGAGACTAGCCCTGTGGGGTCGAGACGCTCCAGGCCATGGCAAGGGAACAAGGGGGCAAAGCAAGAAAGAGCAAGAACAATTCCGTACTTACCTGTACACAGGTGGTCAGCACCCCAGGATCTTCCTCTACACTGTCCTCCTGGAGCCACATGGGGCCCTGAGCAGACAGAGCTAGAAGAAAAGAGGCAGCTGTGAGGCCCAGTGAGCACATTCGCAGGACCAAAGACTGCCCACTCTGATTGTGACTTCACATGCACACACTCACAGGGTCACACATGGTGCCCACACCCCCAGCCTTCTTCTTGGTCCCTTGTATAAGCTCCTCTTCCATCACGCCTCGGGTTGGCAACCCCACATCACAGACCTTCCTCTTCTCTTCTCCCTCAGTACTCTCCAACTCAGATGGCAACCTGCCCCTCTGGGTGTCAATTCCCACCTCTACCAAATCTCTAGGCTGACTCACGTCTGAACTCTAGACCCAGACACCCAACCACAGGCTCCAGTATCTCCACTTACACATCTAGGGGAACACGAATGGAACATCCACAATGAGCTAGAGGGTGGGGCTGCCCCAGGCAGGCAGAGAACACAGCCTGAAGACACAGGTTTATTCTCAGGCCTTGAACTTGCCCTACTGGGTTTCTAATTTGCTTGGAACCCATGGCCCCTTTTTCCTCTCTCTTTGGGAATGAAAGGTCTGTCCTATGCCTGTCACACCATTGTATTCTGGAAGCAGAATACCTGTTTTCTCGTTTCACAGCTTCACCGATGGAGAGGAATTCTGCCCCTAGGATGGACCTACCCCGAATCTTACCCATACCTGATTTGGATGATTTACATGATGAAATTTAGGACTTTTTGAGTTGATGAGATTTTGAACTTAGAGTTGATGCTGAAATGGCTGAAAACTTTTGGGATGCTGGGATCACCTGAATGTATTTCGCATGTGGGTAGGACATAAATTAAGAGGGGGAGGAGGGTAGGCTGTTACAGGTTGAATTGTGTTTCCCCCAAAAGAAGGAAGTACTAACTCCAGGTACCTCAGAATGTGACCTTATTTGGAAATACGGTTTTTGCAGATGTAATTAGTTAACATGAAGTTAGGCAAGGAAGGATCCTGGTTCCCTCCAGACTTCACCCCATGAGCCTTTTCCCTTGGTTGATTTTGCTTTGTATCCTTTCCTGTAAGAAACCATGGCCACGTGCACAGCTGTATGCTGCCTTCTATTAGGCCTCATAGCAAGTCATCAAACTTGCGAGTGGTCTTAGGGACCCCCGCCACACTAATTTCACTCACCCCAAGTCTAGGCTGCCACCATTCCATTCCTAACTGCCGTCACCCACCACTCATATCCTCCCTGAAGTCCATCTTCCTCACAGGTGCTGGAGGGTTGTTAGAACCACAGGTACATGGCACTACTCACCTACGTGCACTCCTGGCTCCTGGTAGCCTAGGAGATGGGCCAGGTTCTTTTCCCACATTTCCAGGCCCTGCATGGTCTGGCACCCACTTGCTCTCCAGTCAACTTACACCACCCCCCACATTGGCGCACCAGGTTCTCTCCCCGAAGGATTTTACAGATGCTGTTCCTTATAGCCTGAAATCCTCTCTCCAAACCTCCTCCAAACAGCCCAACATCTGGCCAAGCTAAATGATACAGTAATTATGATCTAATCCAGCGCTTGTCCCCCAGGGGCTATGTGGCAATGTCTGGTGTCTTAGTCGGTCAGCTCAGGCTGCCGTAACAAAATACTATAGACTAAGGGGCAAAAACAACAGAAACCTATTTTTCTCACAGTTCTGGAGGCCATAAGTCTGAGATCAGGACACCAGCATGGTGAGAATGCTCTTTCTGGCTTATAGACAACCTTCTCTCTATGTCCTCACATATCAAAAAGCTCTGGTGTCTCTTCTTTTCTTATAAAGACACCAATTTTACTGGGTCTGGGCTCCACCTTTATAACCTCATTTAACCCTAATCACCTCCTTAAAGGACCAGTGTCCAATACAGTCACATGGGAGGTTAGGGCTTCAACACATGAAGGGGGAGGCACAGTCCATAGCATCTGGGGACATTTTGGTTACCATGACTCGGGGAGGGGGGGCACTTATAGGCTGAATTGTGTCCCTCTAAAAATTCATATGTTGAAATCCTAACTCCGGTATCTCAGAATATAACTGCAATTGGACACAGGGTCTTTAAAGAGGTAATTAAATTAAAATGAGATCATTAGGGTAGGCCCTAATCCAATATGACTGGTGTCCTTATAAGAAAAGGAAATTTGGACACGGACATGTACATAGGGGAAACAAAGACAGCCATTTACAAGCCAAGAAGAGAGGACTGGAACAGATCACGGCCCTCAAAGTAAACCAACCCTGCCCACACCCTGATCTCAGACTTAGGTCCACAGGACTGTGCGAAAACAAATTTCTGTTGTTTAAGCCGCCCGGCTGCAGTACTTTGTTATTGCAGTCCTAGCAAACTAATACAGGGGAGGTGCTACTGGCATCCAGTGGATGGGGGCTTGAGATGCTGCTAACAAGGCACAGGATGGCCACACAACAGAGAATGATCTGGCCCCAGTGTCAGTAGCGCTACAGTTCAGAAACCTTGGTCTAAGCTTAGATTTCCCAGAACTCCTCTCTACCGCCCAAGATGAAGTCCGCGTGTTACATGCTTCCTGCATGCTGGTCTTCATTTAAAAATCTGACTGCCCAGCCAGGCTGGGAGCTCCACGGGGGATGGAGGCAATGTTTTGTTTGTGATTGTTTCCCAGTGCC